GAATTTAGAGACCTGGGGCCTGTTTCTTAAAAAAACTTAAGTAGAAAATCTTACTTAAGTCAAACTTAAGTCCAAAAAAGTCTTTGTCTTTTTTGACTTAAGTAAGATTTTCTACTTAAGTTTTTTTTAAGAAACAGGCCCCGGTGTGGAAGCACCCAAAAGTACTTTGTGAAGTACTTAGAAAGTATTTTTATAAATCAGTACTTCATAAGTATTTGCTTCAGTACTTATGAAAATTCTTAAGGAACCTTAAGATTTGATAAGTACCTACGTTACTTTTGATAGTACTTGGTAAAGTGCTTACAAAGTGCTGTTGTCATCAATTTCTATTAAATCGGGAAACGATGTTAGCACTGAACGAAAGAAAATAACTACAACCGTTGTAGTTATTTTGATTTAGAAGGCTTCTAAATCAAAACCCTTACTGAATTAAATATCCTCATCCCAATATAGAACAACAAATAATAAAACAGCTGCTATAGCTCGTAATATTCATTTATAAATACTATGTTTCATTGATAGATAACTGAGATAGGTTCAGTTGAAGTTGGCTTATTGGTATTTATCTGTAGCTGAAGTAATTTTTAGTATTCATCTTTAATATGTTCTATACACTGCAAATACTATTGATAATATCTGTTTGCAAAATTCGAGGAGACTTCCATCCGAGAAAATTCTGTTCGAGAAAACTGCATTTAAAGCAAATTATTTTCTGGCAAACTTCATTCAAGGAAATTTTCGAGATTATCGCTTTCGAGGAAATTTCATTGGAGGAAATTTCCCTTAATCAGTCTTGCATCCTACACTGCCGGTCTTAATTGCATGATGCAAGGTCTAACTATTAAGAGCAGATCCACATTTTAACTCAAAATGGTAACTTTACTAGATAAGTAGTTGCCCAGTGCTTCAAGTACTCGAAGAAAAGGATATCCTCGGTACTTGCCAGATATCTAGGAACCACCTGAAACACTTGCAAACAATTTCCAAGTACTTATTATATAACTTGCGCTTGTACTTCCTTAAGTACTTGTCAAGCTAATCAAGTACTTGTATCCCTTAAATCACTTGATAAGTGCCTTCTTTACTTCCAAAAAACTCCAGGTACTCTGGACATTATACTTACCTAAGTACTTGTCTAAGTACCTGGTCGCAAGCATATTTGCTAGGGTATGTATGAGTTATTAAATATCAGTTTTCCCTAACCTGGATTGTTTCTTGATATTACTATTCATCCTTACTGATTAGTTCGAATAGAGCTCAATCTACATATTGATTTTAAATAATGGCGACATAGTTTCATAAGAAGCCAAAGAAAAAAACAAACAAACAGCGTATTCAAGTTGGGTAGAAACACTCCAGCAGTTCGGCATGGTGACCGCGACAAGTGGTCTGTTAGGTATACAGACTAGCGTGGTACTTCTCAGATACCCCGTGGCAAGTGGCCAGTTGGAAACTTTGAGGCATGAATCAAAAGTCGTACTTCGAACAGTCGATGTAACATTATAATTGTGTTAAATGCTATGAATACAGTTGATGTGATAAATGTGAACGATTGCAAGCTTTCAGATTTGATTCCTGGATCAACCTCAATCGCATTAAAAGTAGTGAGACGATGTGTTGAAGAGTTGATGGGTGTTGCAAGAATGAACTAACTGAAACTGAGGAAAAGTAATGAAGATTATTTCAACCTTAGCAGTTGGCTACTAAATCCTATTTTGTTATGCAGAAAAATCGCTCGATATTGGAGGAAATTGGAATCAAAATCGAGAATGTTGACATCGCACAGGTATTTTAAATTTTTTTAAAAATGTTCGTTCTGCTATTAAAGTGTATAAAGAACGACTTTGATGTTATAAGAGAGTATTTTATTTCTGTGTAAAAAAAATTTTTAATAGACATTATATTAATCAGATTTTGATACTCTTTTCGATGAGATCGGCCTCCAAGTTTGCAGAGAAAGTCTCTCTACTAAAAGCAGAAAGAACAATTAGAGACTCACATACATATGATTGATATTTTTTGTGCTGTTATTCCGGGAGATGAACACGATACAACTGAATGGCAAGTTAAGAAGAATTCGTTTTAGAAATACAAAAAACAGAGTTCTGTAAGATCTTACACAAAAATTAGTGATTTTTAATATTTCATTGTTCTGTTTGAGGTCAAAAAACATAGTATAAATTCCCCATAGTGCGTAAGCGACATCTGCTAACTGATTTGTAACTGGTGCATTATGATCTAAAAATTTCATTCATATTTTATTTTACTGTTTTATTATTAATAATAGTTAAAATTAAAAAATAACAGTCTACATACTATAAATATGACAGTTTTGTTGCCTTACCTGTGATAAGATCATAAAAAGATCGATGTTAAAGATGATTTTCTTTATTGATTTCGCTTTTAGAAAGCCTCAGGAAAGAGTTAATTTTATGATATAAAAAATGTAAATATTGGAAAAATTAAATTATAGTGTTGTGAAAATGAATTATAGTTGCCAAATTATCAGTGATAATGATGATTGTGTTCTGTTAGGAAACTTATTATGCTCAACTGGATTTACTCAAAATGAGAGTTCATTTACAAAATCCATAGACAATGTCATATGCACAGTATCTATAATCAGTTTATCAACAACAGAAAAAATATTAGTAAATAATGATGATGATTTTATTGTCTATTTCGATTTATCGCGGCCAATACGATCAACAATTGATGACTTTCTGAACGGTAACTTTCATCAAAATAAGTGTGTATTTCTTTTGAAATCATCATCGGAAAATGACAGTGATAATGGGGATCATGTTTTATTGAATAAAGTTTATGTGTTAATCAAAAAATTTAATTTTTCCCTACATATTGTTGATCAAGATCAATTTTCATCAAAACTTTACGATTTAATAAAAGATTTATCATACAGAAAATATCGATCCAGACCGTCCAATAATGTCTCATGTCATCGTCGTAATTTTACAGTAAGTAAGAATCAACATATATTTTTTTGGAGGCCAAATAATAGTCAGAAGACTATTAAAAAGTAGTAGGAACAATTAACTTTAGGATGATTTCTTTCTCCAACAGGGATATTTGTTTGACTTTAGTAATTATTTCAGTATACTTTCTCGTATGATTCTGTTTAGAATCAATATTTTCTCACGCTAGCTTCATTTTTCATCCACAATATTCGTTCTGTGACATGGCTGCAAGTAACCAATAGAGATTCGTATGAATGTTAAAATTTTGATTTTATACTAGTGTACTGATGAAAAAATAATTCGTATCTAAACAATGAAAAAGAAGACTTTTTTTATACAAACAAACTGAATAAAAAGTTTGTTTTTCAATAATAAAAACCGAAAATTTCTAGAACTTTCTATGAAAACATTTCTAAATTGTAGACTGATAGCGCGGTTAAGATAAACTTTGACTTAGTTTTTAGTTCAAAATTAAATTTAACTTTTATCAATTTATGATCTGATTCATTTTAGTTTCGTGTTTGAAAAAATGTAGTGATATATTTTATTTTAATGCTTGATGCTTGGGTATCCGTTCTTTGTTTTAAATCTGCATTTTGCTGTTAATTTCAGTACTGCTTTGGTTATTTTGAATAGATATAGATTTTTTTCATAGATTTCATTTGTCTCGTTATCATATTGAAGTAGTCGGGGGTTTTTTCTTTCGAATCTAATAATACTATCTGTTGATATTTAGCCATTCGATGTAATGATTAATTGTTCATGTATTATTTAAATTTACTAATCTCAAATTTACATTAGGACAAAGTTTCATAAGAAAAAGGTTTGTTACAACAAAACATCTTATAATTTTGTTTGCATGAGTTATTACTAATATTTGATCTTAACTTAACCCTTAAAAGCCGAAGGGGGTTCTGCTTATGGCAGGAGGGAGCTAACCACAAACATATAGATTATGGGCCCTCAGCATACTCATACTATAGTAAAAAATAACAATCTTGGTC